CCCCTTATCCGGATAGACCTTGGCAAATAGTGGGTGCCGATTTGCTGAAGAGCAAAGGTCACTGGTATCTCTTAATCTCAGACTATTATTCCAGGTTTATGGAGATTGCTAGACTAAATGACTTAAAAATGGGCACTATTGTGACATATACAAAGTCCATCTTCGCACGTCATGGTGTACCTGAGACAGTGAGAGCAGACTGTGGTTCTCAATTTGACTGCTGTCAATTCAAACAGCTTGGTCGTGATTATGGATTTAAATTGATTACATCAAGCCCAAAATTTCCACAAAGCAACGGCTTCATAGAAGCGCAAGTAAAAAACTTTAAGTACCACTTAGAAAAAAGTGATGATCCCTACAAAATGCTACTTATGTTAAGAGCAACCCCTCTGGAAAATGGGAAAAGTCCAGCGGAATTACTTTTCGGGAGAAGGATCCGCACTTATGTTTCGATAATGTCTGATCAACTAATACCCTATCTGGTAGACACTGAAAGGTTAAGGGAAAAGGAAGAAGCAAAAATTGATCGTCAAAAGATTTATTTTGACAAAAGACATAGAGCCACAGAATTGCCTACTCTACCTGATGGAGCTCAAGTCCATATAAAGGACAGGAATCAAGAAGGAACTATATTAAACAAACATCCTGCACCTCGATCCTATATAATTCAAACGCAAGATGGTTGTTTGCGGAGGAACAGAAGATCACTGCAAAGATTTAGCACTACTATGCCTTCTGATCAACCAGCACTGCAGATCAGTCCCTCAGAAAACCTGAGAAGATCAGAACCATCGCAGACAAATGCTTTAGCGAATCTAAGAAGATGAACAAGACAATTCAAACCTACCCGGAGGTTCGATCTTTAAAGGGGAGATGTGTTGTTATTCATATGTGTTTGAAAACATATGGTGTTAGAATATTATTTGTTTAGTTTTTGTTGATAAACATTCTGAATCTGGTTTATTGTAAAAAGCTACCTAATAAAGTATTTGTCTTAAAAAAAACTATATTTTAATTTAACTTGCGATAACACTACAATACCACCTTAAAATTCTTTGGTGTGTCTAATGCTTTGGTGTGCTGGAGTCCGTCTAAAATGCCCCCGAAACTCACGCTGGACTGTTATTAAAGATGAACTTGAGTCATAATGTAAAACACAGAATGTTTTTTCTTGAATTATAATCATTTTGAAAATGATGCAAACACGTCAAAGAAAAAACCAAGACTGATTATTGAACAGCTGATTATAAAACTTGGAAACATGCTTTTTAAGCACATGTTTCAAATATTAATGTGGGACAAGAATTGGGTGAGGTGCACACCATTAAAACCTGATGATTCTTTTATAAACGCCCTGTATAATATAATAATATAATCTAAATAATTATTTAACCTCAAAAGTGTGCACTAAGTATAGATTCACTAGATAAATTCGATAAATTGACTTTTTTTAAATAATCCAAACGAAAATGTAATTAGAAGTATTTTAAGTATAGAATCTAAATAATCTAAAATATAACCTCATACTTTATGTACCCTTATATTTTATAATATATGTGCTAAATATATTAATATAACTTGTAATAATATTACATAATATGAAACTAAACTAGTCTTCCGACTTCAACATCTATTGCCAGCCAGATGTTGCCCTTTATTCTTTGGCCTTTGTAGGAAATATTCTTTAAATCATAAAGGGCGAGATGTTTTGTCACTTCTTATATTAAACGGTCATATTCATCTGCACTAAAACTTTCATTCATCCCAGACGTTGTGCGGATAGCCGACGACACCATAGCAAAAATGAAAAGATGTCAAAATAGTGTATGAAAACAATCAGAAATGTAACTGTCGCTAAGCGACTGTCGCTCCTTACTGGCCTTGGAGCAGTACCCAGCAACTGCAGCTCGCGGCTCTAGCGACAGTAGCTCCAAGCAAAACAGGACTGTGCAAAACCCCTAAGGCTGGTTTTATGCACCACAACTAACAGTCGCGAGTCGCGAGTCGCGCCACGTCTTGCGGCTGACCAAAATGTCACGCGACAGCGACACTTTGTTGTCGGTGCATACAACCAGCCTAAGGCCGGTTTTTAAAACCCCTAATGCACCACGACAGTCGCGAGTCACGAGTCGCGGCGCGACTCATGTTTTATTTAGTTAAATGATAGCATTTATGCACCACGATAGCGACAAACTGTCGCGTGAGTGAAACGGCAATCTCTAAATACCCGCGACAGGTTTAATCGCAGCTTCAAAAAATGTGTCTCGCGCGGTTCAAGTTCTATTGGATCAAATGGGTACGTTTATGCACCTCGACACTCGCGGCGCGACAGTAGTATTTTCAAACTCAACGTGGTATATTATCCATACATTTACATTTCACATATTGATTAATGTTATTAATTGATATATAAATAAGTTGTTTACCCATTCTTTTTAATATAAATTACATCATTTTTCTCATGTAATGTCATTTACAAGAGGGTTAACCCAATTCAAGCTGTAAATTGTATGTGTTGTATAAATAAACGGGGTTTTGTCTTCAAAGTTTACAACACTACAGGGTCTTATTTTAACAACTTAATTATCACTCCTACATCACAACCACAACACACAACATTGGAATGAGAACTACCTGAGTTCTTTAATCCCCCCACCGGATGGGGATTTACGCGACAAAAAAGTGTCGCTGTCGCGTGACCGATCGGTCAGCCGCAACACATGTAGCGACAGTCGCGTGTCGCGTGTCGTTGCGCGACTCAAGTTCTATTGAGTTAAATGGGAGCATTTATGCACCGCGACAGCGACAAACTGCAGCGTGAGTGACTCGGAGATCTTTAGATACCCGCGACAGGTTTTAGAAACAGTAGTACATACTCCACGTGGTATATTCTCCATATATTTATATTAATTAATGTTGACAATTAATATATAAATTAGTTCTTTACCCTTTATTTGTAATATAAATTACATCATTTTATTATGTAATGACATTTTTAAGAGGGTTGACCCAATTCCAACTGTAAATTGTATGTGTTGTTTAAATAAGTGGAGTAACACTACAGGGTCTATATTTAAACAACTTAATAATCACTCCTACATCACAACCACAACACACAACATTGGATTGAGAACTGACTGAGTTCTTTAATTCCCCCACCAACGGATGTGAGTTTACGCAACAAAAAAGTGTCGCTGTCGCGTGACTGACCGGTCAGCCACAACCAATGTAGCGACTGTTGCGGTGCATAAAACCAGCCTAAAGGTACGATTTGCTTGGAGCGATAGGTGCGACAGTCGCGGGACGGTGATCTTAACGTCGAATCAGTCTTCTTCGTCTGAAATCAGCTGATCGGTGGTTTCTGGTTTCCTTTCTCTGTCTGATTTGATGATAGTGTCAAACAACTCGTTAACCTGACTATTGATTTTGTCATTAAAATATGTTTTGTTTTAATTTAAAGGCCTTATATATTTAAAAAAATTCTAGAGCTGGTGTTTTAGCTTTATTGTTGCATATGTGAATTACTGTCATATTTTCTTCAATTTTTGAATAGTTATGGTTGCTACTGACTAGATGTTCGGCGTAATTAGACTTTTGAATGGGGGTGTTTTTTTGGTAAATGCTCTTTATATCGGGTTTATATGAGTGCCTAGTTTGGCCGATGTAAAATTTGTTGCAATCGTGTTCGTAGCGTACTCGACTGATGTTTAAGAGGCATCCAGATTGAATCCTACCGGTGACACTAACTTTTCATAAAAGATTTTGCTTAGAATGCGATTACTTCTTAACTGTACATATTTTGTTAGAATTCGAGGCATTTATAATTTTATTTTATGAACAGAAAAATTATTTTTTATTACTAAACTTTCATTCAATTTTTATCTTACATATTTATTCATATTATCAGCGAGTTTGGTTGGTTAGGTTAGGTTGTGAATTTCATAATAAAAAAATTATAAAATAAATTTTCAAATTTTTTTTACATCAACGTAAGGGGCTTTCCCACAATCCCCCACTCCTTCGCAGAAGAGGTTTTTATGGTTTATTGACCAGGAACCTGAGACGCTAGTCTGGTCTGTCCGGCCAGTCTCTGCCCTACTCCCACCACAGCTACGTCAGCGCTCCGAGGTGACGGCTCCAGAGTCTTGAACTAAGACGCTGGACAATGGACATGTCTAGTGTGTTACGCCGTTCATTGTTGTAGTCGTGACGTAACCGACGCGCTTGAACCGTTCGTGGTATACATAGTGTTCGGAGGGTGGTGGGGGGAAAAGCTCAAGTGATAGAAATGTGGACTTTTGGGAAAATACACCTCTCTTATAGTTCTTTTACATATAATAAAAATCCAGCTTTCCCTAATTAGCTGCGAATAAAACCCTTCATTAACTGACTATGATGCAGACTACAAGTAGGCCTTCAAGGGAAGATGGATGCATAGCTATATGATCACGGTTTGCTTATTCCCTTTACAAAAAGCATGAAAAATGCTCATATGGTGTAAAAAGAATACAAATTAAACATGAAAGATTGTTCAAATTTTTTAGGTAGGGTCTTGTATGAAAGTAGGTTTGTTATTATATTACTGCTTATCATACATTTTCAGTCAATCTAGAGCTGAATTTTGAATCTAAAATTATGTTTTGTTATCAAATATAGCATGTAAAAAAAAACATTCGTTTCTAACTAACCTGTAGGCCTATAAAATAACTGAATTGTATACAAAAAGTAAATTGTATGGCCGTATGGGTTTTTCTTGTGAACTTCGTCTAAATTACGTAACTGATATTATTGCAAAGCCGAGTATTTTAGATCTTTTTTTGTATGTCAAAAATGTTAGTAGTTAATTGGAGTTAATCCATTTATTTATATTCGTAGCTTAATGTTTTTGTATTGCGAGATAATTTAAGATTTTAAAGTCTTAATCTAGAGGATCCTAATTAATGGTTCACTAAGCTGGTCTAATCAAAGGCACCAGACAAACTAACCTCAAGGCTTTCCAGGTTTCAAGTGGAATTCTGGGTTGACGCTAAAAAAGGCAGATCATCTTCTAAAAACGATGCATTAGACTTCTCGGTAAAGTTTAAACCCCGTCACGTAGAACTCTCCTCCTATAGTTTGTATAAATATCTGGGTGAGACGACAGAAGTTGATGCAGAGTTTCCTTTCCGCCCAGGTCAACCGTTCTACCTCGAATTCCACATCACCGAAGAGAAGTTTAAGGTTAGTTTTGCATGAGTCAAAAGTAGCAAGCATTCCTAAAAATAAAAAAGTGTCAATTTAGCAGGTTAATGATGATACGTTTCAATTGTACTCTAAATGTGAAAATGTTACTTTAGGAATGAAGGGTTTTATGGAATGTTAGACTAAATTATAAAGTATATACTTAAATGGTCTGTCCAAGCAACATACTTGCTCCTGTAATACAGGCTTTTTGTTTGACCGCTTACTTAACTTACTATAGATACCACACTATCTTCCTGTAGGTACACTTTCTCTGGGTTCAAAACTTTCAAAACTTAAATGACTTATCCTTAGTTGTTGGACAGTTGATATAAAATGTTGAAGGTAGCGTAACTTATTATTTCCCGTTATTATAATCCTTAGAGATTTCATGGCATTTATAACGATTTAGTTTTGTTTATACGTTAATTAATCTAGAGGTAAACAGTCAATCCTGATCCTGAGAAAAGCCATACAATTTAGTCTGTTGAAACTGGTCCTAGCTGTTCTTGGATTATTGGGCTCTTAATGTTCATTCTTTACTCACCTTACCCTGTTGTCTCGCTGTCAGATTGCGGTGAATGGTTGGTCCTACGTGTACTACAAACACAAACTACCTTTCAAGTCAATCAACAAAATCCAGATCTTTGGAGATATAAATCTTACCAACGTCCAATACGAGAAATACGCCAAGTTTCCTACCCAGCTGCCAAAGGTAGGTAGATTTTCAGTGTGAAGATAATTAATAGCATGGTTTTAAATACCTTCAGTCACCAGTTCAAATTAAGTCGGCTGTTGCAACCTAGGTTTTGAATCTACCTGTGTATGTGCTTAAATTAGAAAAATTGCTATTTTATGAAAATGTGTCTAAACACTTTTATTCATCTTTTGAAATTATCTTTAAAACTACACCAAGTTCAAAAAGATTAAATTATAAAACCTAAGAAATCAAAGTTTTTAGGCGCAAATTGATGGATACAACAACAAAATGGTGATTTCTCAATTGGATTTCTCAATGGGATGTGAAGCGCAAGTCGCAAAACTGTCAACCCCTCGGCCGAAGAATTCGTCGGGGTAGGGCCAAGGAGCGCTGAGGTGCTTGCGCTTCTCGGTCCTACCCGTGCAAGGAAATAAACCCCTACTTACGAGGATTGAGCAAGACAATGCTTGGGTCGACCCTGCGAGTAAATCCAATTAGTCGCGCTTCACTGACTACACCAAGCATATTTCAAGCATATTTTTCTAGTGCGACTTATTACCAAACTAATGTTTGAGGCCGTTAGAGTTTGTATGGAACTGTTTGATGATTACTGATTGATTGAGGGTGTAAAACTATATTAAGCGTGCTGATTCTGCTACCAAATTAATTAATGAAGGGCGTGTTGGGGACCAGAGGACGGAGATCTTTTACCCAGACCGGAAGCTTGCATAGCCAGCTTTGATTTATGCTACTACAACTAATTTACTAAAAACTATCCTTCCAAAGCTTGTGATCTAGAAAATGAGTGTTAATGAAATGATTGACTGGTTATTGAACTACTTAAACGGAAATGCCCAACAATTTATTTAAAAGAACTATGGAAACTTCTGAGGAAAACGTGTTGCCCTAATCATGTTGAAAATGGTCGGAGCCTGAAGGGCTGGACCAGTAAGGTACCTAATTCCTACATTTTCGATGTCGGGGCGACCCTTGTAGGTCTCCCCCTTGTTTGCTAACTAGCCTGACATATTAATCTATATATATTGTAAACAATTATCTAAGGACTTATCCATTTAGTAGGTTTTTCCTGGGGAACACTTGTTCTGTGAGAGTTCTTGATCGTGGATGCCGGTGAAGTGGGGAGAAGGTAGTGAAAACTTACTATCGATAGTACTATCGATAGTATCGATAGTTTGAAAATATCGATAGTGGGTCGATAGTATTATACTATCGATGAGACTATCGATAGTTTTTTTACGTTAAATTAAGTAAAGAAATCATTATCTGGTACTCTTACATTTCATTGTTTGTCTGTTAATGCATACCTATAGTTAATATTATAGACTATTTTTTTTAATTCATTGTAGAAAAGCTCGGTAGACAAGTAGGCTACCTTCTCAAACATTTTAAAGCGGGGGCATTTGCTAATTCACTACCGGACTTATGGGTACATTTGCCTCGTGGGTTTTAGCATACATAGTAGACACCGGTATACGGTATTTTCCTTTGATCTATGGTTTTAGATTGTCATAAATATATATATATATATATATATATATATATATATATATTATTTATGCTATGTGAGTAAAAAAATATTTTTGTAGTGAATAATAAAAAGAAAATAGAAAGAGAATTTTTCTTTTTTATTGTTGTAACCCTTAAAAAAACTTATTGTTATTTTATACAAATGTTGTAATATTTTGGAAAAAAATAAGGGGGCTCCAGGGGCCTATTTCATAATAAAGTACAAACTAATATTATTAGTAAATCAGCTGATCGCCTAATGCAAATCTTCTTATGGAAATTACAAGTTACAAGTTGTAACTTGTAACTTGTAGTTTATTATGAAATGGGCCCCAGGGCGTCACTCATAAATTGTTAAAATTAATAATCTGATACAGCTTTATCTTCGACTAGGTAGAAACCATTGTTTAAACTCATGCAGGCAGGATATATACAATATTATATGCATTAAAATTCCATTTGAGTGACTATCGATAGTACTATCGATAGTATCGATAGTTTTTAAAAAACTATCGAAAACTATCGATAGTGTGACTATCGATAGTAAGTTTTCACTAGGAGAAGGTAGAAGGTTGGGAAAGGTCGGTGGGAAGAAGGTTGGGGAAGGTCGGTGGGGGAAGCCGTTCGCTTGCTCGCGGTGGGCTGACGAGTTCGCCATGCAGCCCTGCCACACGAAGCGCTGACACTATAAGAAATATAGCGTGCCGCTATGCGTCACATGTTGTATCAACAAATGACCGGGGGTATACTTTCACAGTCGAATTTAAATTGCAATATAAAAGATGATCCTTCATTTGAATGTTAAACCACATTTAAATCTTGTTCATAAAACAGTTAATAAAATGGATTTTAAATAGGCTACCTTTTGATAATTAATTGCGAATTAATTAAGGTAGGTGGCTTTAGTCTTCTTGGTGTGGATCTGAAATAAATTAATGGAAATGATTGTAAATTAGTAAGTTTATTGACTTTTAATTACTGCTTTAAACAAACATAATCTTTGAAAAGAATGGGGTATTGCAAAATTTGATGACATTAACAAAGATTTCAAATACTAATTTTATATGTACTTTATACGCTTAAAGCGTAACAAATTCATTAATTAAATTCAGTATTTTTGTGTGTATGTCCTTATTTTTGTGTTTCACTGGATGGACAAGAGCACCTTTGATAATGAAAATATCACCGGGATAAAGAGTTAAATGGTGAGGTTGAGGTAGTACTTTAAATACTTCACCCATTGTGGAAAGTAACTTTCAATTATAAGCCTACCTTAAGCCTATGCCTCATGGATCTTTAAAGATTTTTTTAAGTTTAATCATTGTATTTAACATATGGACCAACAAGATCCGGGTGACATTTAATTGCGAAGCATTTATTTTGGCTTGAAACTGTCATACTGTATTTACAAAGGTTTATATATAAAAGTTTTGCCAGCATATCTGCAAATATGCAAACCAACTGCTGTTCTTAATATAAGAAGGTTTTGTTTTAACTGACTACTATAAGATCTACGTGCGTAGAACGGGCACACAGCTAGTAAGAATATAACATATAAACAAGAATGACAATACAATATTTAAATATATTAACAGTAACAAAATAATTCATTCTAACTAAAATAATACTGATGGCCATGAATCAAATATAATAAATATGAAATAATAATATAATATAACAAATTAATAGGTACTATTTGGAAAAATTATTAATTAACGTTGATTAGAAAGTTTGACATCATTTGACAAACAGACATTTAAAATGTTTTGTGACAAGTTAAATATATAAAACCGATAGGCGTTACAAGTGCGAGACATTAGATTTAGTGGGGAATTGAATCCAAGGTTGGTACGAGAGTACTGAGGGGTAAATACAAGAGCGCTGCGTGAATCCCAGCAAGTCACTATCGTAAAGAACACCGCTCACCAGTTTATGGAGGTAAGATAAGGCGGCCAACTTCCTTCTGTCATTGAGACTAGTCATATCAAACATGGTCAAAGAGCTGGTGCTATGAAATGTTAAATGTATAGTGACCAAATGTTTTAAAATACATAAATCTTTAAAAAATTTTGAATCGCCTCAATCATGTCTACAAGATAGAGCTGATGAGGATACCATACGACTGTTGCATATTCTAATCGTGAGCGAACTAATGAACAAAATAAAATTGATATCAAAATTTGTAGGAAAGTGAGCTAGCGGAAACAAGCCCATGGGGCGTAGTCCAAGGGAAATATGAAAATTAAATTATATAATATTGCATTGTTATCCATTTGTGAGCTATGTTTCAAGTTTCAAGTCTCTAGCTCATCAGAAAGTATCAAAATTTACAAGAAAGGGAGTTAATAAAAACAAGCCCATGGGGCGTAGCCCAAGGGAAATATAAAAATTAAAGGATTAAAGGCATTGTCTTCCATTTGTGAGCTATGTTTCAAGTTTCAAGTCTCTAGCTCATCGGGAAGTTAGTATAAAATTGATTGCAAAATTTGTACCGGACAAGAAAGCGAGCTAATAAAAACGTTTTAAAATAGTTCTGTTCATAAAATAAAATTATAGATGTCTCAAAATCAATTATATAATTTTTTAATTATAAAGTTAAACCATCATAACCTAACCAAACCAACCAAACTTGCTGATAATGAAAAAATCGAGTCAAAAAGGTAATGCTTCCGGTGGATTTCGAACCGGATACCGCCGTATTATCAGCCCGCTATCCACTACACCACCGAGACCTACGGCTATTAAATGTATCGTTGCGGTAATGGTGTTCGCTCGAGCAGTGGTGGACCAGGTGGGCGGTGGCTGTCTGTCGGCAAGGGTTAATGATTAACCGCAGGCAATAAGTTATAACATATTCTCCCCTCCAAGAGAACTAACCAATCAAAAATTAGATTTCTTTTTCATTTTCATTCAATTTTCTTCGGAGCAATAATCATTTTTGGCCGAGGTTTGCGAAGGCTAACTTTGGTACTCACCAGTTCATTAGTGATTTTCACTTTCAGCATACGTTTTCTTCTTAGTTGTTTAATTTCTTTGAATATTTCAGAATACTTCTTATTCCTCAGGTTATCACTGCTGGACTTGAAGTACTTGTCGTGGTACTGTGAGATGTCAAAGCTCTCCTCACTGACCAGGTTAATTGAATCGTACACTAGTGGCGTTCTCCTCACGGTCTCGTTTCTGCAGATTTCCACAGGTGACAAGATGCATAATGTCCTCCACGCTGTCTCCTAGCACCTCCGCCGTTGGCTCTTCAAGACACCGTTGTGGTATCGTAGGGTTCCTCTGAGCGACTACAGTTGTGTTTAAAAAAGGCCATCAGGCATGGGAACACCCAGCCACACTGAGCACACTTGTTTGTTTGCTTGCCATCGTTAATTCTCCTCACAGTCTCGTCTCTGGAGATTTCCACAGGTAACAAGATGGGTATGTCCTCCACGCTGTCTCCTAGCACCTCCGCCATCGGCTCTTCAAGACACAATTGTGGC